TTTTCTTTCTAGCCATCAGCAAGTCCAGTTGGCTATACTTCTGAAATATTAATATGTCCAAAATTGGACTGCTTTTCTCTATCATCTTATCTTTTTCTCTGTTATAACAAGTACCCTGATCTTGTTCTTCCCTCAGTCCTTTGTCCTAACTCATTATCTACAAAGCAGTCACGGTGATCTTTTGCAAAAATGCATCAGATTATTATTCTTTTACCTAAAAGTCTCTACTTACTCCCAGCCATACACAAAATAAAATCTAACACCTCCCTATATCCCCCTGGGTCCTGCGTGGTCTAATTTCTGCTTTCCTTTCAGAGCGCATCTAGCATCTTCTCCCTCGATTCCTCCCACTCACTGTGCTTCAGCCACACTGGATTTCTTTCTTTTCCTGTTAATATCAAGCTTATTTCACTCTAGGGTTAATACATCCCAGTTATGCTTTTTGCCTAGGATAATTTTTCCATACAATGTTGAATGGCTTATTCTTTGTTGTCATTCAGGTTTTAATTCAAACACTCTCCCTCTCTTACTCAGGTCACATTTTATCAAATCACAGTGTTCTCCCTGCCCCAGTCTTATTTAGTGATTATCACAATTTGAAATGATCTTGATTAGTCTCCTAGACTGAGCTCTTTCAGAGCAGGCATTATGCTGTTTCCTTCACTGCTGCATGTTCAGTGCATAGAACAGTTCCTTGCACAGAGCAATAAATGTATTTAAAATTTTTAAATTGATACGTAATAATTATATATATGGGGTACATATGGTATTTTGATACATATATGCAGTATGTAATGATCAAATTGGACTAACTGAGGTCTCCATCACTTGAAACATTTTTCATTTCTTTGTGCTAGAAACATTCAAGATACTCTCTTCGAGTTATTTTGAAATACATAGTAAATTAATATTCTATTCACTCTACTATGCTATAGAACATTATTTCTCCTGTCAAATACTAACTTTAAAAAATGATTTTTACTGATGCACATTAGATGTACATATTTTGGGGGTACATGTGATAGGTTGATAAATTTATATAATCAAATCAGGGGAATTGGGATATCCATTACCTTAAATATTTATCTGATTTTTCATTCTAGCTGAAATTTTGTACCAATTAACCAACCCCTCCCTATCACATTCTCCCCCTGTATAATTCCCAGCCTCTGGTAACCACTCTTCTATTTTATTCTACTCTCTACTTCAAGGAGGGCAGCTTTTTTAGCTCTCCTATATGAGAGGAAAATGTGCTGTTTGTCTTTCTGTGCCTGGATTATTTCATTTAACATAATATCCTCCAGGGTTATCCATGTTGCTGCAAATGACAGGATTTCATTCTTTTTTGTGGCCAAATAATACTCTATTGTGTGTATATACATCCATTAATATTTTGTTTATCCATTCCTCTGTCAGTGGACACTTAGGTTGATTCCATATCTTGGCTACTGTGAATAATGCTGCAATAAACGTGGGCGTACCAATAGCTCTTTGACATACTGATTTCCTTTCCTTTGGATATATACCCACCATTGGGATTGCTGGATCATATGATCTATTTTTAGTTGTTCGAGGAACCTCAATATGTTTTGCATAATGGCTGTATTGATTTACATTCCCACCAACAGTTTATAATAATCCCCTTTCTTCTGCATCCTCACCAGCATTTTTTTTTAGTGGAGACAGAGTCTCCCTTGACAGATGAATAGTTTGCAGATATTTTCTCTCATTCTGTAGGTTGTCTCTTCACTCTGGATTGTTTCCTTTTTGTGCAGAAGCTTTTCAGCTTGATGTAATCCTTTTTGGCTATTTTTGTTTTGGTTGCTTGTACTTTTGAGGTTTACCTTAAAAATCTTTGTCCAGTCCAATGCCCTGGACAGTTTCCCCAAAGTTTTATTTTACTGATTCCATAGTTTGAGGTTTAAGTTTTTAATCCATTTTCATTTGATTTTTGAATATGGGAAGAAATAGGGGTCTAATTTCATTTTTCTGCATATGGATATTCAGTTTTCCCAGCACCATTTGTTGAAGAGACTGACATTTTCTCAATGTATGTTCTTGGCACCTTTGTAAAAAATGAATTCACTGTAGATACATGGATTTATTTCTGGGTTCTCTATTCTGTTCCATTGGCCTATGTGCCTGTTTTTATGTCACTAGTGCTGTTTTGGTTACTATAACTCCGTAGTGTAATTTGAATTCAGGTAATGTGATTCCTCTAGTTTTGTTCTTTTTGCTCAGGATAACTTTTGCCATTTTGGGATTTTTTGTGATTCCATATAAATTTTAGGATTAATTTTTCTATTTCTGTGAAGAGTGTCATGGGTATTTTAATAGGGATTGCATTGAATCTGTAGATTGCTTTGGGTAGTTGGACATAGCAATAGTTTTAATTCACCTAATCCATGAACATGAAATATTTTTCCTTTTTTGGTGTCCTCTTCAATTTCTTGTCTCAATGTTTTATAGCTTTATTTGTAGAGATTTTTCTACTCTTCGGTTAAATTTGTTCCTAGACACTTAATTACTTTTTTGTAGCTATTGATAATGGAATTGCTCCCTTGATTTCATTTTCAGATTGTTTGCTATTGTTATATGGAAATGCTATAACTAGAAATGATTTTCGTATGTTGATTCTTGTATCCTGCAACTTTAGTGAATTTGTTTATCAGTTCTAACAGGTTGTGTGTGTGTGTGTGTGTGTGTGTGTGTGTGTGTGTTGTGAAATCTATGTTTCTCTAATGATTATGTCTGCAGACAGAGGCAGTTTGACTTTCTCCTTTTCATTTTGGATGCCCTTTATTTCTTTCTCTTTCTTTCTGTCTGGGACTTATAGTGCTGTGTTGAATAACGCTAGTTAAAATGGGCATTCTTGCCTTGTTCCAGATCTTAAAGGGAAGGTTTTCAACTTTTTCCTATTTAGTATGATGTTAGTTGTAGTTTTGTCATGTAAGGTCTTTTTTTAATTTTTAGATTTTTTTTTTTTATTTCTATGGGTTATTGAGAAACAGGTGGTTGTTTAGTTACATGAGTAAGTTCTTTAGTGATTTGTGAGATTTTGGTGCACCCGTCATCCAAGCAGTATATACTGAACCCAATTTGTAGTCTTTTATCCCTCGCCCCCTTCCTACCCTTTCCTCCGAGTCCCCAGAGTCTGTTGTGTCATTCTTATGCCTTTGCATGCTCATAGCTTAGCTCCCACTCATGATTGAAAACATACGGTGTTTAGTTTTCCATTTCTGAGTTACTTAGAATAAGTCTTCAATCTCATGCAGGTTGCTGTGAATGTAAGGCATTTATTTTGGGTACCTTTCTTCTATACCTAACTTGCTGAGAGTTTTAATCATGAAGGGATATTGAATTTTATTAAATGCTTTTTCTGCATTTATTGAGAAGATCATTTTTCCCCCCATATTGCTGATGTGATGTATCATGTTTGTTAATTTGTGTGTGTTGAGTCATTTTCACCTCTGGATAAATCCCCGTTGATTATAGTGTATACCATTTTTTGGTGTTCTGTTGGATTCAGTTTGCTAGTGTTTTGTTGAGGATTTTGTATGTATGTTCATCAGGAATATTGGCCTGTAGTTTTCTTTTTTTGTTTTGCCCTGATCTGGTTTTGGTATCAGGGTCATGCTGGCCTCATAGATTAAGTTTGGAAGAATGTCCTCCTCTTCGGTTTTTTAAAATTAGTTTGAGAATAACTGGTACTAGTTCTTCTTTAAAACTCTGGTAAAATTCAGCATTAAAGCCATCTGGTCCTGGGCTTTGCTTTGATGGGAGTTTTTTTTTTTTTTTTTAAATTACTGATTCAATTAATCTTATTTCTTGTTATTGGTCTGTTTGAGTTTTTTGTTTCTTCCTGATTTCAATCTTGGTAGGTTGTGTGTGTCAGGAATTTATCCATTTTCTCTAAGTTTTCCAATTTGTTGTCATATGATTATTCATAATAACCTTTAATGATCCTTTGTATTTGTGTGATATCTCTTGTAATATTTCCTTTTTCATTTTGGATTTTATTTGGGCTTTCTCTCTCTTTCTTAGTCTAGCTAAAGGTTTGTGTTTTTTTTTTTTATGTTTTCAAAAACCAAATTTGTCATTTTATTAATCTTTTGTATTTTTGTCTCAATTTTATTTATTTTGGCTCTTATTGTTTCTTTCCTTCTTCTAATTTTGGATTTGGTTTGTTCTTGCTTTTTGAGTTGCTTGAGGTACATTGTTAGGTTGTAAGGTTGTTTATTTGGAGTCTTTTTACTTCTTTGATGTAGGCATTTATTGTTATAAACTTCCCTCTTAGTATTGCTTTTGCTGTATCCCATACATTTTTTGATATGTTGTGTTTCCATTTTCATTTATTTCAAGACATTTTAAAATTTCCTTCTTAATTTCTCCATTGACCCACTGGTCATTCAGGAGCATGTTTAATTTCCATGTATTCATAAAGTTTCCCACGTTCCATGTGTTGTTGATTTCTAGTTTTCTTCCACTGTGATCAGGAAAGATTATTGATATGAATTTGATTTAAGAAACTTGTTAACATTCGTTTTGTCATCTCATATATAGTCTATCCTGGAGAATGTTCCATGTGCTGATGAGAAGAATACAACAGCTGTGTATTCTGCAGCTGTTGGATGAAATCAAAGCAATTAATACTTATTGAATAAAAAGTTGCTTAATCTTTTTGAGCCCCAATTTCTCACTTGTCTCACAGAATAATTGACTAATAGAACAAAGTTGTATTTAGAATTGAGATAATAAATGTATGTACAATGTTTCATATAACACTTGGCTCACAGCCAAATAGTAGTTTGTAATTGTTTCATTATGATTATTTCTATTAAAATGTTCACTTTCGTTCTCCTATACTCCTCTCATACCTGTTACTGTACCTAACGATTGATCCAGAGTATTGTGACCAATTGTCAATCGCAGATGCTGACTGGTTAGACACTTGCAATTAAATCCTAACTTAGTTCTCTCCGTTGTGTTTTTCTGTACAGGTCCTACAGCTGGGCTCAGACATCCTTCCCCAGTACAAGCAAGAGGCACCAAAGACTCCCCCTCACATCATCTTACATTACTGTGTTTTTAAGACCACGTGGGATTGGATCATCTTGATCTTGACCTTCTATACAGCCATCTTGGTCCCTTATAATGTCTCCTTCAAAACCAGGCAGAACAATGTGGCCTGGCTGGTTGTTGATAGCATCGTGGATGTTATCTTTTTGGTGGACATTGTGCTCAATTTTCATACCACCTTTGTTGGACCAGCGGGGGAGGTGATTTCTGACCCCAAACTTATCCGCATGAACTACCTGAAGACGTGGTTTGTGATTGACCTTCTGTCCTGTTTACCATATGATGTCATCAACGCTTTTGAGAACGTGGATGAGGTTAGTGCCTTTATGGGTGATCCAGGGAAGATTGGTTTTGCTGATCAGATTCCACCACCACTGGAGGGGAGAGAGAGTCAGGTACATCCCTCAAATCTCAGACCTTGTTGTCATGTCTTTAAACCTGAATTAAATGTGGGTGGTCAACAGAAGAATAATTAAATGGGTGGGAAATAGCATGACTGATGTCTAGAACAGAGGGAGCATGCTTGATAGATACCCTTGCCTGCTGTTCCTACCCTTTGGCAGTTTGGAGGCCCTGCATGACAGTGAATGGGTGTGGAAGAGACCAAAGGCTTATTACTCCACGTGGAGTGTAAGCCACTGGCTCAGGAATGGTGGGCCTGCAGCAGCAGGCATGCATGGCCACTGCACTGGCAAGTCTTCTGTTGAGTATATAGTTGCTGAATATCTACTGATTATTCTAATTATGCAGACTTTTATCTGCTGCTGACTGTCCGCTGTTTCATAGCCAATTAACTCCTGATAACAGGAATACCATTTTCTTGAAAGTTTGCTTTTCCTTTTTTCTGTTAAGTTTTGAGATAAGTTATTTCTTTACTAAAATGAGTTGGGAGACAACCATGTGCTGAGGTGGTCAGGCACAGGCTTGTGTTAAGAGGAGCAGTGTTGTTTTTGGATTACACTTCTGTTTTAGACCATTTTTGTGTTGCTATAGAGAAATACCTGAGGCAGGGTAATTTATAAAGGAAAACCAAATTCCGATGGCTGGAAAGTTCAGGACTGGGTGTACTCATGGTGGAAGGTGACCTGGGGAGCCGGCTTTTTTAGAGATCAGCAGGTAAGAGAGGAAGTGAGAGACAGGAGGGGGAGGTGCCAGGCTCTTTGTAACAACCTGCTTTTGTGGGAACTAATGGAGTGAGAATCCACTCACCACCCCACTTCCCTGAGAGAGGACATTAATCTGTTCAAGAGGGATCCACCCCCATGACCCAAACACCTCCCATTAGAGGCCCTATTTCCAACACTGGAGATCGGATTTCAATATGAGGTTTGGAGGAGACAAACATTCAAACTAGAGCAACTGTTTTCAGTTGTTAGTCCAACAGGCAATAGATGAAATTAAAGGAAGCTAAATTCTCCGTACATGTGTTGGAATTAGGACATGCTCTAAGTCATTTACTGAATGAGCCTGGGACATGTCATAGCAGGAAGGGCCACTGAGCTGACTAAGGTGATTTTCTTTGAAAAAGTGATGGTAATCAAGTCATTGCAAAGAAAAATGTCAGATTCTTATCTAGTTAGTGTTCTACGGGAATTGCCCTTCCTTTTTCCTACTCCTAGTTGACATTCCAGTTGGATTAAGATAAGGCAATTATTTGGCAAGTCTCCAGCCTTGTTCAGCTGGGCCCTCATTGCTTCAGATTACAGAGGCTCCCAAGGTCTCAGTCTGGCTGGGTTGTGTGGGTACTCTAGGAAGCCACCTGGAAACTAAGTTGAGGCAAGACACATTTCAGAGCTAAAGGGCTCATAGGACTCAGGCTTGAGAACGTTAAAAGAATAGCCTGCTCCCTGCCGGGATGTCAAAACCTGGCCAGTGACTCCATGTTTTACTGGTGGCATAATGATGCCTCTCTGCCTTCAGATCAGTACCAGTGGGGGGCGGGACAACAGCCTTTTCTCTGGGAGAAGAGAACTATTACCACTTCTCTTTCCAGCATTTCTACCAAATGCTGCCAATGTAGAGATGGAAGGAGAGAATTTGGAAGCTCTAGATTCAGAACAACCCATGCTTGTATCTGTGTGATGGGTTTTAAAATACTTTAAAATCCCAAGGACTAACTCTCTGGGGTGGCTTGTGTAAATTTTGTAGGGGAATGAAATGAGTCAAGAGTGATCATTTACAAGAGCAGAATCATACCTAGCATGAACATTGGGGTTCTTACATGAGATTTTTTTTTTTTTTTCCTGAGACAGTGTCTCTCTCTGTCACCCAGGCTGGAGTGTAGTGGCACAATCTCGACTCACTGCAACCTCTGCCTCCTGGGTTCAAGCAGTTCTCCTGCCACAGCCTCCTGAGTAGCTGCAATTACAGGCATGTGTCACTATGCCCAGCTAATTTTTGTATTTTTAGGAGAGATGGGGTTTCACCATGTTGGCCAGGCTGGTCTTGAACGCCTGACCTTAAGTGATCTGCCTGCTTTGGCCTCCCAAAGTGCTGAGATTACAGGTGTGAGCCACCACTCTCAGCCCGCAAATGAGAATTTTAGTACATTTTGGGAATGATATTTTTCTCTGTGAGCACATTTTTAGAAATCTTTTTTCTTAGGAAAATATGATCATTTTGGCTTAGGTAATTCAAATTATCTGAATCTAAAATAGCTTCTTAAACCCATGGAAAGTGAAATTTAGCTTTAAAAACACATTTTTTTTTTAAAATAAACCATTTTCTATTTAGAGTAATGGCACTAAAATTTTGCAGATAAATAGAACAGTTCTCCAGCTTCCACAGATTCTTATTAAAAATTGGCAGAGCTATAAACACATATGTAAATGTGTCAATTACCTGGTAGGTGAACAGAGCAGAGTGCTTCTCCCCAGGGACGGAGTGCCAAACCAATAGTGTATGTGGGGTTGGAACTCCTTTGCTGTTATTTCTAAGTACCCCTGACGGTGTTTTCTGATTTACAGATTCATGAAATAGATTGGTTAATAGGAAAAATGTCAGTTATCTGTAGCTTTCTCATTAGTCAAGGCATTAGTATCAAAGCTTGTACTATCACCTCTTGGCCATAAATAATAGTATAAATAGTAAGGGTTACAGCTATTGTGTACTCTGTAAGATATGATTTTATTTGTTACTTTCTTTTAGAGCTTTGGCTAACACACCAAATAATACCCTTTCATAACAACTGGAGGTGTGGAGGGAGATCATTGTCAGGAAAGGGAAGATTTGGCTTTTAGTTCTCTTGGTGCCACCTGTTAGAACAGCTGGGATCCTTGTGTATGGTTAGTCTCCCTGGATCATGGTTTTCCTATCTACATCTTGGGGATAACACTGCTATACCTGCCTGTGGGCACAGCATTTGGGCGGTGGACTATTTGAGTTTGCTGGCAGCTCCAAAAGCTAAAGTCTGGTGAATGCTAAATCTCATCTGCATTAATCTCACCTCCAGAAGCTTATTGTAAGAACAAGAGGTCTAGCATCCTGACCTCTTTCTTGTTATTGCAGTGGAAGGAAAACAAGGTAAGGGGTGGGAACGCTTAGCAGGTGATAAGTAGACCCACTTGAGGTCACAGCCTGACAGGACCCTGGAGGTCTTACAGTTCAACCTTCTTAATTCACAAGTAAGAAAAAAAGACTCAGAGGGGAAATGACTCACTCAAGATAGAATAACATATATAATCACTGTAATAATGAGTTCCCTTCTGACTCTTCTTATTCCTAATAGCAACAGATTTTTATAAAGTAGGAGCAAAACACTTAATGAAGGACAGTTGAGCCAAAACTGACGAGGAAGCTTCTGATGTGTGTGGCTCACTCCCTGGCTTGGCTGAATGTGGTGGGGTACTTGGGCATGGATTCTGGTGGGGGTAAATGGAGGTGTGCAGCTACATTTTCCACAGGGCATCTGTGTTGGGGATGAGATGGCCAGTTAAAGATGCTTGCCAAGGGACAGAGCCAGCACAGTTTCCGAGGCATAGTCCTTTGGTGAAACGACACTATTACATTAGTGGGAATGAAGGGCTGATGCTGGTTAGAGGATGTTGGAGAGCCCATGAAGGACACCCCACCTTTTGAACCTGGATTAGGCTGGGGGAAAATCCCCCGGGTTGGAGAATTCTGATTAATGGCGTAGTGGCTTCATATTCACCACATGCTCTCTTCTTACCTGTTGATCTGTTGTGGAGTTACTAATCTAAGATTACAGGTCCCTGTGCTCTAGGTTCTTTCTCTGGGGGAGTGTGCAGAGAAATGAGAAATCGTTGACTCGTTTCTCATAAAAAAAATACATATGGAGCTAGCTGAGTCATCTTTGGTGTTCTCAAAATTATGCCAATGTGTGCCAGTGGAGACCACCAAAGAACGACATGAGCTGTGTTGGCTTTGTCTTCTGTGTGTATGTGTGGAGAGGGAGTGGGGAGTTCTTGAAGTGGAAAGATTGGAGCCACGCAAAGCCTGGGTCAAAAAAGAACTGGGGTAGATTGTTAAACCCTGCAGTTGTGAATTCAGCCCTGTGGATATAGCCCATCTCCATGATTTAAGCCGCACAAGTGATCCCTTTGGCTAAACTTGTTTCACTTATGTAGATGGGCTACATTTGCGTCACTCTCCAGTCTGTTGGTAATAATCTGTTTTGGAGGCTGTTTGAGACTATGTTTGCACATTAGTTAAACTGGTTAGAGGACAAAAGATCTGGAATCTGAGCAAACTAAATCTTGGAAAGGATATGTCAAAGCCAAAGCTAAATGAATCTCTTTCAAGTGCTGAGTGGATTGTTGGGCTAGTCTGCTCCATGTGTTAAAGATTGAATTATTATTGACAAAACAGATTTACTCCCCTAAGGAAACTTACTGCTTACTGCTATTGACATGTAAAAATGCATGGAAAGGGGAGAATGGGGCTGCTGTCTCCCAGGTGACGGTGCTGGTGCCCTGGAGCCTGAAGGTGGCCAAGAGCTTCCTTCTATCCCTGGCTCTGTAACCTCAGACAGCAGCACAACCAGCTCGTGCCAGTGATGTAGCTGACACTTGCCAAGAGCTCACTCTCATGGGAGATAATCGCCTTATGGCAGAACAGGAGCAAAATGTGCCAATGAAAAGATGATAGCATTGGCACATTTTCCTTTATCTTGTGATTTTAACTTTCCCAAATACTCACACAGATCACCTTTTTCCTAGCCGTGTGTGGCAGTGAAGAAACTGCATGAACTAGGAGGCTGGCAATTTCTTACCCAAGTGGGACTTTGCCACCCAGCACTGCAACCTTGTGAAACTAACTTCATCTCCCTCAACTTGGTTTGCCTCACCTGTGTGATGAGCCCATTCCAGCTCTAACCTTCTGTGGCCTGGGAGCAGGTATTATCCCAGTTTTGCAGATGAGAGGAAAGGGGCAGTTTGTCCTCTTGCCTGATGGCAGCTGTTTTGAGGTAGTGAAACTGGACGCTAGTCTCCTGACTCCTAGGCTCATGCTGTCTCATCAGAGAATCTGGAAGCCGAGGGAACCAAGCTGTGCATTTCAGTCCCTGGGCCCCTTCTCCGACTTATTCCCTGGCATGGCCCCTGCTGTTCCCTTCATTTTGGTGGATCTCTGTGACAGCTCAGGGGTGAGAGGTTTGGGTGGTCAGTCTGTGGTCGTGGGTGCAGGTATGTGGGGATGGATGGTGAGGGCGGAGGTCAGCAGTGACTCCAGGGTCTTGTTGCCTGCCCTGCTTATCTCTCCTGGGTGAATGGCCTCACCTCCAGGTTCTTCTAGGTTCACTATTCCCTGCTGTTCCAGGCTTTCCTTGTCACTGATGCTGAAATCAAGTTGTACAAACGTTCATTGCTTATCCTGTTAATTTGTGGTTATCAGTCCTTATCTGTGGTTCTTTTTAGGTAGATGGCTAATTTTTCAGTTTTCACACAGGTGACTCCTCTTGCTGTCCAGCTGGAAGGAAACAGGTGGGAAGCTGCCAGGTGAAAATCATGAGATGGCTGGGGCTTTTCTTCCCCTCTCAGTTCTAACAATACCGTAGGGGCAGTCCTTGCAGCTCATAATAGCAACTTTTTTTTTTTTTTTTAATTAGTAGACTTAATTTTTTTTGGAGCTGTTTCAGTGTACAGAAACATGCAGTGGGACGCACAGAGACTACCTCCATTCCTTGCACACAGTTTCCTCTCTTAACATTTTGCATTACTGTGGTACATTTGGTATCATTGATGAGCCAATATTAGTACATTATTGTTAGCTAAAGTTCATATAGCATATAGCCTATGGTTTACATGAGGGTTCATTCTTTGGATTATGCATTCTGTAGGTTTGGACAAGTGTATAATGATGCATATCCACCATTACAGGATCAGATAGAGAAGTTTCAGTGCCTTAAACATCCACTGTGCTCCACGTATTCATCCCCCACCCCAGTTCCTAGCAACCACTGATCTCTTTACGTCATAGTTTTGCATTTTCAGAGTGTTGTAACATAGAAATCACACAGCATGCGGTTTTTCGGGTTGGTTTCTTTCACTTAGCAACATGCATGTAAGGTTCTTCCATTTCTTTTCAGGATAACTTTTTAAAAATTGCAGAATAATATCCTATTGTATGGATGTATCATGAATTATTTAGCAATAGCAATTGAAAATCATTACCCTATAGCATTATTTCAATCCTGATCAGCACAGGTCTTGTTCTGGGATCTCCTTCTGCTGTGGGTTTGACTTGGACGGTGGAGAGGAGGTGAGACCCCGGGCTGCACGCTGGCCACTCTTAGCAGCCTGTGGTAGCTCCTGGGTAAAAATGACATTTCTCACAAGACATTATGTCTGATAGTAAAATGGACAGAAAAACTAAATTGTACCATAATATCCTCACATTTCATTCTTTTTGCCTTGGCATTTCTATCTTTCATGTTTGGGCTATTTCTTCTATCCAATTATTTTGACAAAAAGAGGACAAAACCAGGCACACGGTAGTTTTCACTCGTGTCTTGTTAGCGGCAGGAAGTGCTTGGATGAGTGCGCTTCTCTTCTGATGAGTGTGACCTGCCAGCAATGGCCAGGGGCTGAGTCTGTTTTCAGTGATGTTAGTGATGATGCCGCTGCCTCCATGCTGAAAAATATTGTCCAGAACTTTTCCTTTTATTTATTTTATCAGTCTTCGTCCTGACTTGTGCTCACAGTGAGTGAAGGATTGCGGAGGAGACATGCCTCTTGTTAAAGCAGGGGCTTCACATGGAAGACTGGGCTATAGGTGCTGTGGATGAGTTTTGATCCTACCTGGGGTGTGTACGTGTGGGAGCCGGGGAGTGGCTAGGGGAGCATTTTTTAACAACAGTAAATTGATCCTGCATGGCTTCCAGGAAGTAGTGATTGGCTATGAAACTGTGATTCTAGAGTTAAATAAATACAAAACCTAAAAACAAATCTCTCTGAGGCAATGAAAGAGTTCAACCATTGTAGAAGATAGTGTGGCGATTCCTCAAGGAATTAGAACCAGAAATACCATTTGACCCAGCAATCCCATTATCGAGTATATATCCAAGGGAATATAAATAATTCTACTATAAAGACACATGCACATATGTTTATTGCAGCACTGGTCACAATAGCAAAGACTTGGAACCAGCCCAAATGCCCATCAATGGTAGACTGGACAAAGAAAATGTGGTACATATACACCATGGAATACTGTGAAGCCATAAAAAAAGGATGAGTTCATGTCCTTTGCAGGGACATGGATGAAGCTGGAAACTATCATTCTTAGCAAACTAATGTAGGAACAGAAAACCAAACACCGCATGTTCTCACTCTTAAGTGGGAGTTGAACCATGAGAACACATGGACATGGGGAGGGGGAATATCACACACCAGGGCTGGTCAGGGGGCTGGGGGCTAGGGGAGGGATAGCATTAGGAGAAATACCTAATGTAGATGATGGGTTGATGGGTGAACAAACCACCATGGCATGTGTATACCTATGTATCAGACCTGCATGTTCTGCACACGTATCCCAGAACTTAAAGTATAATAATAGAGTTCTGCACTGGGGAGCAGGATACGCTCAGCTGCTGTGTCTGACTCTGCTCTGTTGATTCACCACCCTTCTCTCCCAGCATCCTCTCTGGGAGAGGCTTTAACCCAAGTTCTACTTTTAGTTCCCCACCAATTCTTGGCTCCTCTTTCAGGTTGGTCTTCCTTTAAAGAAACATGATTGACTTAGATGACAGGGGATAGGGATACAACTCCCCAGGGAGCCCCTGGTTTAGTAGGGGCCACAGATAATAGACCTTGGCAGAGAATGCGAGAGGCATTCTAGGAGTCAGGTCAAGGTATTACAGCTTACAACAGGGAGCACTTTGCCTAGTGAGAGAATCCAGGGAGGCTTCCCGGAGGAGATAACGACGTTTAGTCTGGTAAGGAGGAAGTAGGGCATTTCTGGGAGAGGAAAGAACATGTGCAAAGGGCTGTGCTATACGGGATGCGCAAGACATTCATTGTGCCCAAATCAGTCAGCACTGGGTGAGGGAGGAAGGTCAAGTCAAGTGATAAAGACTCCCAGGGTCTTGCAAGGAGTTTACAGTTTATCGTGTAGGCAAAAAGAAACCATCACAGGCTTTCACTAGGGTGAGATCTCATCTGATTTTTGTTATTGAAGGTATACCTAGGAAGCAGGGGTGAGAATGAGTTAGGGAAATAACATGTCCCTGCTTCCCCTCCTCCCATTCCTTGGACCTACTATAGTCAGGCTGTCACCCCCACTAGTATACTGAACCCCATTCCCCCAACTCCTGTTCCTCTGCCCCTCAGTCCTAACACCTGGCCAAACCCTCACCCCACTTGGACTCTATTTTCTGCCTCCTCTAGGCTGTGCTCTAGTCCCTGAATGTGACTGCAGAATGTGAGTGGAGAACTCCATCACTGCACAGATTGACTTCAGCTCACTTGGAATTACCCCTGAATTTCCCCAGGCTGTGTTCTTCAATAAGGCAAACCTTCATAGCCTCTCCTCTCTCCTTAGGCTGACAACGCCCAACTCGCACCCTCCCCTGATCCTCTTGCTTTTTATTCACTGACAAAAGAGAAGTGATCAAAAGACAACTTGGCCAGGTGCAGTGGCTCATACCTGTAATTTCAGAACTTTGGGATGCCGAGGTGGGTGGATCACCTGAGGTCAGGAGTTTGTGACCAGCCTGGCCAACATAGTGAAACTCTGTCTCTACTAAAAATACAAAAATTAACTGGGCATGGTGGCAGGCACCTGTAGTCCCAGCTACTTGGAAGGCTGAGACAGGAGAATCACTTGAACTTGGGAGGTGGAGGTAGCAATGAGCTGAGATCATGCCACTGCACTCCAGCCTGGGTGACAGAGTATTAAAAAAAAAAAAAAAGCACTTACATGTACTCCCATCACTAAATCCAGCCCCACATACTCTGCTTCCCTCCCCCTAGTGGGTCAGCTTCTGTGCTGAATACATTTCCTCTTGCCCACTCCTCAGCTGTTTCCTTTCCCTTCTATATGATCAAAGAATATATCTCACCTTTGTAAAGCTCTCTCCGCATACCCCAGCTGCTGCCCCATTTTCCTGCTGCTTTTACGGAAAGAAAGAGTTCTCTGTACTTGTTGTTTCTGCTTTTTCTCTTCTCTTTCTTACACTTATTCTAATCAGGTTTTCATCTTTGTCACTCTGTTGAAACTGTAACTGTTCTTGTCAAAAGTACCAGTGATGTCCAAATAGCCAGACCCAACAGTGGGATCTCAGTTCTCATCTTATTCTGTTTGCAGACATGGGAGCCTCTCATCTCACACAGAATAAAACCCTTATTCTGGAGTATTCTTCCCCTAAGTGGCCTTTCCTCTCACTTTACTGAGATGTTCGCTCAACATGCATGATTAGAGTAGCTTTCCCTGAGCACCCTACTACAAATTTCTATCCGTTTACTTTTTCATAGCACTTACCGTAATCTGATATAGGCTTTGTTATAGCTAATCTCCCCTCATTA